TGGATATTGCCGAGTGGTTAGGTAGGACTTAAGAATTAACCTAAAAATCAGCCCTGCTAGCCAGGGACTGCACGGAGAACTGCTCTGGTGGCTGGAGAATAAAAGGGGAAGTAGCCATGAGGAAGGCGGGCTAAGCTGTGGACTTTTACATGTCTGGAGGGCGCAGACATTTTGAATGTTTATAAGCGGCTTGACCATTTTGGACATTTAAAGTGACAGCGTTTTCCCAGACTCCAGGGACTTAAGAACAGGATGCACTTGCTGGGAACTGCAAGGACATTCCAGACGTGGACTACTAGAAAGGTGCGACATTTCCCTTGTTATTCTTATATCTCACACCCTCTTGTTGAACGGAGGTGTGGCCACCCCCAGCCACCTCCTACCCACTTTATAGGCCAGCAGGAATTCCATCCGAGTCTGTGTGCTCGGACTGAGCCTGGCTGGGTGCCATGTCCCGCTCTGCCCGATTTTTTCCTTTTTTCTTTTTTTTAGTTTGATTGGTTTTGTCTGTTTTAAAACTACTACTATTATTATTACTTTTGTCCTTTTTGTTATCATTCTTTATTCTTCCCCTACAAGGTTCTAGTTTTTAGCTTTTTTTTTTTTCCTTGTTCCTGGTTCCAATTTTCTTTTTCTTTCCTGTGGTTAACCCCATTCTTTGTTTTTCTTTTTGCATTGTTCCCATTTTTTTTCTTTATTATTCTTCTTCTCTACATTTTTTGATCAAACCCTTAAATGTGAAATCTGTAAAAACATAGTTCTTCAAGGAAAAATTAGGGGCAAATTTAGGGGCCCTAATATATGGCATAGGGAGCTCTGGTAGCACAGTGGCTAAGGCACTTGACTGCTCACCAGATGGCTGGCGGTTCAAACCCATCAGCCACTCCTCGGAAGGAAGGTTGGGCAATCCTACTTCCGTAGTGCTACTGCCTCAGAAACCCAAGGAGGGGTCGCTATGAGTCAGGGCTGACTCGATGGCACATAACAACAACAACAACAATATATGGCATAAATAGACTATCAACCACAACCCAAAATACACAAACGGCAAAAGAGAAACTAGATGAATGGGACCTTCTAAAAATTAAATTTTTATGTGCTTCCAATGACTTCTCCAAATGTCAAAAAAGAACCTACAGATTGGGAAAAATATTCAGCAATGACATTTTTGACAAGGGACTTATCTCTAGAATTTATAGAAAACTCCAACACCTCAATAACAAAAAGACAAATAATCCAATTCAAAAATGGGCAGAAGGCATGAAGACATTTCACCAAGGAGGATATTCACACGGCCAACAAACATATGAAGAAATGCTCCAGATTATTAGCCATTAGAAAGATGCAAATCAAAACAACAGTGAGATATCATCTTGCCCCAGCACTAGCAGCAAAGTTCAACAAGACAGAAAATAACAAATGGTGGCAAGGATGTGGAGAGACTGGGACTCTCATATACTGTTTGTGGGACTGTAAAATGGTACAACCACTGTGGAAAGCAGTATGGCGATTCCTTCAAAAGTTGGAAATAGAAATGACCCAGCCATTCCAGTACTAGGTATATACTCCAAAGAACTGAGAGACAGGGCCAGAACAGACATATGCACACCCATGTTCATTGCAGCATTATTTACAATAGCAAAAAGTTGGAAATGAACTAGGTGTCAATCAACTGAGGAATGGATAATCCAACTATGGTACATACATGCAATGGAATACTATGCAACCCTAAAGAATAACATAGAATCTGCAAAACACCACATAACGTGGATGAACTTGGAAGACATTATGCTGAGTGAAATAAGTCAATCACAAAAGGACAAATATTGTATTAGTCCATCATTGTAAAAGTTAAGGAACGGTTTATATAAGAAGGAAATTTTCTTTGCTGTTTACCAGGGGTGGGAGGAGAAGGAAGGGAACACTGTTAGATAGCTGGAGATAACTACTGATTTGGGTGAAGAGAAGGGCAATGTACCAAATGTGAGTGATCAACATGGTGGCACTGAGGAAGAGGAAGACATAGAGAGGTACATGGGAGGTGCAGACAATGAAGATGAACCCTTTTGCACATACAGTACTGCAATGTCGGTGAAGGCAAACATGGGTATAGGGGTGGACAGATGAGTGGACAGGCTGAACTATTAGGTATATCTATGAATCAGGGAGTGTACCCAAGACCATGTATAGGGTTGGCAGACAATGTTTCCACAAGTGTATTTGTATGTTCTGTAAGATTCTCCAGGTGTATAGCAGAGCTAACAAGGGACAAAGTTGTAGTCACTTCTTGGTCATAGCCAGCTACCCAGAGAGAGTGAGTAGTTGAACCTGTGGGCATGGGACCATGGTTGCAAGGGCTATCAAGCTCAATTGACATAATGTACTACATAAAACATTGTTTCACCTCCTACTTTGGCGAGTAGCAACTGGGATCTTAAAACCTTGCAAGCAGCCATCTAGATGCAATGATGGGTCTCTCCTCGTCCAGAGCAAAGAAGAATGAAAAAAACCTAAGATTCATGGAAACAATTAGTCCTTGCAACTGGTGCACCATACTATCCGCAGCCTATATGACTATGAGACCAGAAGAACTAGATGGCACCTGGCTACCACTATCAACCACTTGGAGGGGGATCTATGTCAGATATCCTGGATAGAGAGGGAGAACAATGTGGAATAAAACTCAAAATCATTTGGGGCGGGGGGGAAGAGGACCAGGTTTGCTGGTCTGATAGAGCCTGGTGGGACCACTGAGACTATGGCCTCTAGCTGCCCTTTAAGCCTGGAATTGAACCCACACCTGTGGCTTCCAGCCAAATAAAAGATAGACATATGAGTTGAACATTTACCTGAGGTAGATACACTCCTGGGAGAGAACAATCATGGGAGAAAGAAGGGCTGTTTATAATAAGCGCTTGTTGCAATAAGTACTTATCACGTATTAAATGTCTCTAAACCAAAAACCCAAACTCACTGCCTTCAAGTCAGATCTATCTGACTCATAGTCACCTCTCCTTGGATTTCCGAGGCAATATCACTATGGAAGTAGATTGCCCCATCTTCCTTCCGAGGAGTGGCTGGTGGTTTGAATCGCCAGCCTCCTGGTTAGCAGTCAAATGCCCATCAGGTTTGTAAGGCTATAAACCTTTACCAAAGCAGATTGCATCATCTTTCCTCTGCTGAGTAGCTAGTGGGTTCAAACCACTGACTTTTGGTTAGCAGCCAAATGTCTTAACTGCTATACCACCAGAGTTCCTTCTAAGAATTCAAAGCAGCTTCAAACTACCTCAGACATTGTTTATGAAGCCATCTCTTCACTTTATCTAAAGTTCTGTCTACTTTTAAATTTCGTTCAAGTTCCTAAATGAAAGCTTATCATTTTCTCTAACATATTTTCACATATATACACAATATAATAGAATATAAAGATAACATATAACAACGATATATTTCCTAAGGATAAAATGAGAGTACAAAAGCACTACCTGCTTATGCTATATAGGGCTTTAATGTATAGAAATACCATGTGGAAAATACATCCCATCATACTGGTATGAATTATTATTAGACAGCTAAAGCTTTTTAAGTTAAGATGGGACTCTTTATAATGACTACTCATATTTAGTAAGCATTCATAATTACACTGCACCTAAGTTAAGATACAAATATTTATTCATAAAATAAAATAGTATTTTACCATACAACCAGGAAGAAAACAAACATGTATCTCATAATAAGAAGATGACTTCTAAACTATCAAAGACCAGATACAACTCAGGGCTACTTTCCCACAGGCCTATGTTAAGTATGGATCACTGCCATCTACTGGAACACTTACTTGACACAGCATACAAATTTTAAATGACTGACTTAATTTAGCATAAATTAAACACAGCAAAAACTAGAAGAGGCTAAATCTTTAAATAAATACAACAAGCAATTCTTTGCATTATTCCTCTTTTATAGTAATTCATTTGAAGCACTTCTTAAATTTCTCTTTCTGATTTTTAAAATTGATTAAATTAAATAACCAGTTATTTATCTTAAAAACATTATATAAAACATGTACATGAAAAACGGGGACTGGGAAAAAAAAATATGTTGACAATACTCTAAGGGAAGAAAAATTATTTGTAATCTTAAAAGTTTTAATAGATGAACTTACCTACGTTAATATCTTATTTATATTTTTTAAATAGTAGTTTCAGTTATACCCACTTTTATAAAATGGTCTATACAGCTCCTTTGTATTAGTTTTGTCCAAGAGAGCTTATTTAGATCAGCCATAAAAACCTCTGAAGGTACCAAAGTGTTCCAGTGAACAACAAAGGTTAAAACTTCATTTGTGAATTTGACAAGAAACTGGGAACTCTTAATAATGTATACTTCATTGAGTCCTAACTGCATGTCTTTTAAGAAAATTTAATCAATTTTTTAATCAGACATGGAAATTTTAAAAGCATTGTAAATTATTTACTATAAAAGAATAATCATTTTTTTACTGTTTAATGTCAATAAAGAATTTTTTTTTCCCAGCCAGCATTCAAAATTTCTAGAGTCTTTCAGATAGACAGTTACAAAAAATACCTGCACTAATGACTTGGAAAATATACCCCCTTTAACATATAAAGAGATTTTGAATAAAAAATAAAACAGAAATAAATAATACAGTTTTAATGTCTGTATGTCATACAAGTAAATACATAAAGTCAATATGATTAAACAGTAATTAACCATTATTAATAATAATTAATAGCAATAACTACATAGGTTGCATACTAAAAAAGAAAGAATACGTCCAAATAAAGCTATAATTTTACATGGTGCAGTATACACCTGTGCTAAGACAAATCTAAAATTATCACAGAAAATAAGGAGAATGATTCATTTAATCTGGAAGCACCATTTTATTCATATTCAGATTTTGCTTTATATGCATTAATTTTAAAAAAAAAGTTAACTCAATCTAAAGTTAAATGTAAATAGGTCAGATAAAGTACCTTTCATAAATTGTTTTTAATGTCATTTGATCTGCAACACCTTCTGTCTCTTCCAAATATAATATAAGCCATGAAGTCCGGTATGGCCACTGTTCGGTGAGGTTGATCCAGCTAGCAAGCCTATCCCAGTTGAAACTAATCTGATTGGCTCTCAGTAATCGCCCTTGAAGGAACAGAAAAACATTTTAAAATGAGTAGATGAGTACTACTATGTTACGCATTTAATATGCACACACACAAAAAAACTTCAAACAAAGCTAAAAAAATCATGTTTTAAGTTATAAAATTTAAGATATTTTAAAGTTCTTTTCCATCATTTCCCCCATACTATGCTACTACAATCATCTTCAGGCCTTAATCCTTTCATTTCCTATTTCTCCCTCCTTTTCCCCTTTTTGTGATCCTCCCCTCAACCAAACCCTACCCTTGGTTCACGTCCATTAGTGAACAGCTAAGATGTATTCTGCACTTGCTTTGTACCAGATAGTGTTCTAAGTGTGTTTTCACTCTTCTCCATCAGGATGGCTCTACCTAAACCAAATTTCAAAGTGTTTTATCCCCAAATTTCAAAGCTACTCATTACTATTCAGTTTCCCCTTCCTCTTAACAAAGCAGTTGTTTTGTCACTTGACTATAACAAAATAGTGTAGCACATTATATTAACAGATAGGCACACTTTAACAGATGGCTTCTTTAAAAAAAAAAAAGAAAGATGGCTCTAGCCTTGAATTTTATGACATTGGCTACTCAATAGGGCTGCTTTGTTTTTCCAGGTCTTGCAAGTTTTCTGCCTTTTTTCACTTGTTTTAGTGGAAAATATTTTGAGTTTTCCTTCTCTGAAAGGTTTCCACCTTATATATCTTCTGGCTTTCACAGATTTTACTGTAGTTTAACATAGAACTAAAATTTAATCAAACCAGGTAACTAGTAAGTGACACAAATGGCTAAGCACTAGACTACTGACCAATATAGAGTGGCAGTTCAAATCCACCTAGAGAAGCCTTGGAAGGCAGGCCTAACTAAGTGAGCTGCTTCTGAAAGGTTAGAGCCTTGAAAACCCAACCAAGCAGTTCTGCACTGCACACATGCAGTTGCCATTAGACAGAATCAACTCAACAATTAATAAGAAGAAGAAGTAAGGTACTGAATTATGCTTGCAATATTGACAGTATACTTGCTCTAAAACTTTTAAATATAAAAGAAACTAGTGAAAAAAACTCTTAGAACTAAACTGGAGATGTAGGTTATTTAGAATCTTACAATAATGTAATGATGGGGCTGATCTCCAAAATAAGAACTTAGAGGAAGGCAGTACAGGTAGCTCAAATCTAACTACAGTTGCTTTATTAGTTCTTAAAATTTATTTATTCAGTGTGTTAACAATTCCTTTACTAAGGAATTTAGTCCTCACCCTTAAAGAGCTCAAGAATGTACTGGAAGGGATAGATAAATAAAACAAAAAACAGGACTGTGATATAAGGGCTATGCTGGATATACTTATATATTACTGCGTGAAATTAGAAAATAAGCACCCAATCAGAAGCAGTGGCTAAGAGAAAGTTTCTTTAGGAATATAACCACTAGAACTAATCTATGAATGATGAGTATCAGTTAGTCTGGTGAGGAAGGGGAGAGGCATGGGAAGGGCAGGAAGTTAAAACATTCAAAGGAATAACACATGAGAATTCATTAAAGAACTGATGGATACACAGAACTAGAAAGCTGAATTTAAAACGTAAGTCAATAAAACTGGAATAAGTATTCTATGTAAAATGTATCTAACATATAATGGTTAAGAAATAACACAAAAGCAAGAAAAAATTTTGTCCAAAGAATGTATTTAAATTTTTTTTTTACTTTTATTCTCCAAAATAGCATAATAAAACAAATTTAAAATAAAGTACAACTGATGAAATAAAGCATTTTTTAAGTAGGAAACAACTCAACAAAATATTTAAATATTTTATCCATTAAAATCTCAAACTCTTGTCTAATATTAGTCCCATCTACTGTATGACTTTAACAGTAGCAACTATTTGCATAGTGCTCAACATATATTACACATATTTGCATATAAGGAAATGGAGCTTTCAAGAGATTAAGTAACATGTCCAGGACTTACACTCAAGTTTTTTTCCCTTCAAATTCAATCCTTCCCAATAAACTATTTCCATATACACATCCAACTAATGGTACCCAACTAAATGAAATATTTACCATGAAAACTACTGAAATTCCACTGAAACACAAAGGGTTAAATTGGTGAATTAATTTTTAATATAGCATTTACATGCCTTTAGATTCTTTCACAAAATGGATATTTTACCTAGAAATTTTTCATTTTCAGGCAGAGATATATTTGATGAAGCAAAAAAACAAACCAAACTCACTCCCATTGAGTCAGATCTGACTCATAGTGTTCTGGTTACCTAGTGCTGCTCTGACAAGAATATATACCACAAATGGAATGCTTAAACAAACAGGAGTTTATTCTCTCACAGTTGGAGGCTTTAAGTCCAAGTTCAAAGTGCCAGGCTTCAGGGGCTGTGTGAAAGCCCCTCAACTGTGGGCTTCAGCTCTGCCTTTTGCTCCCAGCCCAATGAAGCTAGAGGCATCTCTTCACTTAGGCAACTACTGGCTGCTAAGGCTAACAAGCCCAAGGTTGACAAGTGAAATGGCATAGTCCCAATGTTACCAAACCAGAGGGGGTGGGCCATTAATTCAAGTCCACTGAAAGTCCCAAGGTCAGCACAGCATGGCAGGCTGCTGAGCGACACAGCTACATGCAGGGTCCATGCGTGCCATACGCCAGAGACCATTCCCCAAGGCTTCTCCTTATACAGGGAAGCAGACCACATCCCTACAGCAGCAGTTCAGCTGCTCATAGTAGATTCCACCATGGAGTTGATTACCAGTCTCATCACGGGGAATACTACATCCAGCTGCCCAGCCACTGAACCAGGCCCAGCCAAGCAGACATACAAACTTAACTACCACACACAGGGACCCCTCCAGGGTTTTCGAGGCGGTATCACTATGGAACTAGCTTACCCAATCTTCCTTCCAAGGAGTGGCTGGTGGGTTTGAACCATCAGCCTTTTGGTTAACCATCAAATGCCTTAGGCACTAAGTAAATATTTCTGATTTCATTAATCTAGAAAGCTGCTACCTATATAGTCAAGAACTAAAAGAGAAATTCTTACATTTAAAATGAGGCTTTAGCCTATCTGTATGTGCTGTAAGAATATCCAGGTGTATAGTAAGGCTGAAAAGGGACAAGGTTGTGGTGAATTCTTGGCCACAGCCAGCTACCCGGATGGAGAAAGTAGTTGGACCTGTGGACTAAGGACCATGGCCTCAGTGGACATCAAGTTCAATTGGCATAACATATTACACAAAAACATTGTTCCACTTCCTACTTTGGTAAGTAGCAACTGGGATTTTAAAAGCTTTTAAGCAGCCATCTAGATGCAATGACAGGTCTCATCTTGTCCAGAGCAAAGAGGAATAAAGGAAACCAAAGATGTATGGAAATAATTAGTCAAAGGGACTGGTAGACCATGCGATCTTCAGCCTATATGACCATGAGACCAGAAGAACTAGATGGCTACCACTGTCAACCACTCAGCAGGGGATCAGTGCAGGAGATCCTGGACAGAGTTGGAGAACAATGTGGAATAAAACTCAAAATAATTAAAAAAAAAAAAAAAGACCGGGTTTGCTGGTCTGATAAAGCCTGGTGAGAACCCTGAGGCTATGGCCCCTAGCTGCCCTTCAGGTCTAGAATTGAATTCACTCCATGTGGCTTCCAGCCAAACAATAGACAGGCAAATGGGCTAAATATTTACATCAGGTAGATACACTACTTGGAACACCAATCATGGGAGAATAGAAAGGCAGTGTATGCACAGGGGAACAGCTCAGGGGTGGGAGTGCATGGGAGCAAAGGGCACAGGGAAAAGGTAAACTCAGGGAAGTGGGAAGAGAGCTGTTACACTATGAGAATTACAGTCAATGACATAAGACAAAATGTGTATGAACTGCTGTATGGAAAATGAATTTTCTGTGTAAACTTTCATGCAAATCACAAAAAAAAAAAACTATAAAACAATAATAAAAAAAATAAAATGAGGCTTTAGGAAAATACTTTGTTTCTACTACTTTTACCTATGTAAAAATCATTATTTTCAAAAAGTGTATTTCAACATCAACTATTATATGACATTTATTTGGTCCTGAAAATGTCAAAATATAATCCAAAGTCCCTATGGTGGATTATGGGTCTGTAAATCACAGACCTTCTATCACTATATCAGAAATGTTTCAGGGCTATTCATAAAGTTTTCCAGTAATATATGAAACAATGTATCACTGCTATTCATAAGGTTTTCACTGGTCAGTACCTGAGAAGTAGATGGCCCCTTCCTTCTTCCGAGTCTGTCTTAGTCTAGAAGCGCCACTGAAGCTTGTCCACCATGGGTGACTTTGCTGGCATTTGAAATACCAGTGGCATAGCCTCCAGCCTCACAGCAGCATGAAAGCCATCACAGTACAACAAACTGACAGACAAGTAGTGGACAAAATGAACTAGCCACTAGCTATTTCTTTAACATCACTTCCTATGACCCTCTTTTTGCTCCCCAAACTCCAACCATACTGTCTCCAGCTATTTATGGAATTCAACCTCAGGGCCTTCATACCTCTGTTCCTTCTGCTTAGAATGCTTTTGTTAAGATATATGTCTGTCTTTTTATATATATATATATATTTTTTTTTTTTTTTTTTTTTTTTTTTCCAATTTTTTTTTTTTTTTTTTTTTTTTTTTTTTTCTTATGGTGATTTGGGTGAAAGCTTATACACAAATTGGTTTTTCATTCAACAGTTCATATTTTGAATAGATATTTTAAGTCTCGTTATGTGCCATTGAGTCTTCATTCAGTTCTCTTATTCATTCAAAAACAATGCCCCAGACATTGTTCTGGATACTGAGGAAACAGCAATAAACAAGATGGACAAACATCTCTGCCCAGGTAGATCTTACCACAATGAAGAGATAGGCAATAAAGAAAATAACTAAGTAAATGATATAATGTCTTAGAAGGTGGTAAATTCTATGGGATAAAATAAGACAGAGAACAGATCAAAGAGTGTCTAAGAGAGAGA